GGGCAACAGTTATGACCTTCTACTTTTTTATTAGTTATACTGGCATAGAGCAAATTCAGTTCATTCTCTTCAAACACAATCAAAAATTTTTAATCAAAGCCTGAGTTTAATTAAAAGCCTGTTCTGTTTCCCTATGCAATTGTGCTGATAGGGATCAGCAGCGCTTACCAAAGTTCAAGCGGCAGGCACCTGAAATGCTAGATTACACATTTTTGGTGTAAGTAATACACTCATTTTTCATGGAGCATGCTCCACAAAACAGTCTTTCAAGGGCAACTTAGACAGAAGGTTTAGAAATACTGAGGTCATTGAAATGCACAGTGGACCTGCAGAGAGAACATGGAGTAACTTCTCAAAAAGTAGGGCTGATCCAGTATGAAGGCAAAAAAAAACCTGAAGAAAAACCCACACCGCCAAGAACAAGCCAAAACCAACGTGCACAGTCCACATGTGACTCCTTCAGCACATGAAAAAACTGTTCTGGAAATACACACCCAGACCTAACACCCCTGTACTTGCAATTATGTTCAGATTTGCAGGTTAAGATGATTACACCATAATTATTTCTTATCACTGAGCAGCAAGGGTTTCATACTTGGAGGGAAAATCCTCATGGTTTTTGCCTTATCTGCCAGCTATCCAATTGGCACTTTAAGATTTTCATTACATATTTTAACAATTATATTCTGTAATCAGTTCTATCTGTTTCATTTAAACTATTAAAACCAAGAAAATGGCAACTTAAACATTCCCCTGCAACAAAAAAGGAAATGCTAATAAAAGCCCTTTCCATTTTCTATAGATATGACATGTGTGCATAAACATGCAGAATTTACTCATAGCAACCTTACATATATCAGAAAGCTCTGAAGTCTGCATTCAGAAAGACAAAGAGACAATAATTTCAATCTATTCAAAGTCAGCACACATTACTAAAGCAGAATGCTCCAGCAGTTCATAGAAATAGCAATAAAATTACTACTACTAGAATTCTGCATAAAGCCAAGAAAAGCCTGCATCCTTTCCCTGTAGGAGAGATATTTGGTCCTTCCCACTGGAATATTAATTTGAAATATATCAAAACTTGATAGAGCTGACAACAGACAACACAGTAATTAAGGTTTCCTAATTAGCATGATAATGTCCACTTAAGATTTGTTCCCTCCTGTCTCTCACAAGACCAAAAATTTATTATCAAAATAAGCCATCAAGTCCAGGAGTTGGCAATCATGGGAGTATCATCAGCAGAGAAGGGCAATGGACCATCACACCCATACACATCTCCACCAGCCAAGTGTGACAAGGTTCCTGCAAAATGTTTCAGTCAAATGACAAGAAGCTGTGCTGAAGCAGCTCTTTCCTAGCAGTTGATAGAAAAAAAAAGAAAAAGAAAAAGGCATAGCAGTCCACTTCCCCACTGACCAGCAAATCTTGAAGCTTTCTGTATTTATTAGAAAAAATTAGTATCTACTGGCACTCTATTTCAATTTTTTTGAACTTCCTTCTATTTTTCATATGTTGAACTACCTAGTTTTCTGTCTTTAGCACAGACCAGAACCTGCAAATCAAAGAAGAAGGGCACAGAGGAAATAACAGAACTAACCCTTGAACAGTTAGTAAATTTTAAGTTGCCAAATAAGGGGGGGGGGGGGGGGGGAGTGGAGGGATGGCATAAAACACACTGTGACAATCAGCACAATACTCAATTACACAATTTCAGCAGCATCAATGCCAATTAGCATTGGCTGCTGACCCCTAATTTGGAATGCATCCACGATCTTAACCTGATTAGGACTTTGTGCACAACAAATGGGAAATCCTACTGTTGCACATTTATTTTTCTGCCTTAGCATCCTAAGTTTTACTCAATTTAAACACTGAAGTAACTAGGGGAAAAAACTACAAGGTTAACATAAAGGCATTATCATGGAATTTACTACAGCATCTTCAACCATTTCCCTAAAAATGTCAGAGTTTATTTTTGGGGTAATTAAGCATGTTAAAAACTAGATATATAGGGCTAACATTTTAATTTAAATTAAGAAGTAAAATTAGTGCTGTAGTTTTAGTTATGCTATGTAAACTGCAGCATTAATTGTGAAAAACCATATTAACATATTAAACCTGCAGCTAACTGAAGGGATTTAATCTATAGAGAGGAAAAAGCAAAGCAGGTAGTCCCTCTCTCAGTGTGTAACACCACGATTCCTGGGACACAAGGGATGTGGAACACAGCTGCCATTTGAATGATTTAAACACCCAGACGCCCCAGTAACGTTTTGCTATGAGGAAACAAATGCAACAAAGTCACAAATTGCAACAAATGCATTTTTCTGAGGAAACAAATGCAACAAAGTCACAAATGCAACAAAGACACAAATTGCAACATCAAACACAGTTTCATTTCTGCACCCACAAGGAATAACTGCAGGAGTATTTTCACCACAGATACAGAAAAGGTGCATATTCTGAAGGTAGCAATTGTTTTTACATGACCATGCATAGTCCAAGTCCACTCAACACCTGCACAAGCAAAAGAGCATCTCAGTTATTTCTGCAATTGGTCCTTTGGAGACACAAAGACAACAAGCCATGCCTAAACTGTTTTAAAATTTTTATTTGCTGTCTCAACTTCTAAGATAAATTGTAGAGAGAAGAAAATCTTGTTCTCTCCTCCCCAAACAAACAAAAAGCAAGCTAGAAGTTTTCTTATTCAACAGATAAACAGAGGCTTCTCAAACTCATGTGATGTTTACACTAAGAGGGGTGAAGGCAAAGCTGAAGACTCAGAACACATGAAACAAGTCTTGGCAGACACACAGAGCTAAGCAAGCAGAAAGGCAGTATCCTGTTCAATGGAGAGCCATGCAATGCATGTGACACCTGTGATTTTAAGGAAAGGTTGCTGTCACAGGATGTCTATGAAAATAAACAGCGCAGAAATGCAGTTTATGAATGCTTAGCTGAAATCCATTTAGTATTTTAGTTATTTCTTTTCTATTTGCATTCAAGTTAACCTCCAGTCCAAGACTCCTATCTCTATTTGTACGTCCATAGCTAACACAGAACTGTTTCAGAGATTTTCATGAAGCTCTTGCCACTCTGACATAGCAAGATTTGCACTGCAGTCCATTAACATAAGGGAAGCTTTCAGAATGGCTCATATGAAGACTAACAAAATTATCATCTCTCTTCCCAAGAAATTGCCACAAATATGGTTTAGTAACTTCCAGAAGCTTAAGATGCTACTATTTGAAATTATTGCACAGATGCAACACTGGAGACCATCAAGTATGGTGGTTTGTCAATTACATAACTACCAAACACAACAAATACATAATTAACAACCTAGAAGCAGTTTTGGAAGCTCAGCAATTTTGTCTAAGGCCTGTTCTAAGCTAAGAACAAGAAACAAGCACCTTAAAAAACCCCAAACCCACAGGCATAAGAATCTAGTAATTTTTCCACTTCACATTTAAACCCCCCTTGCTCTCCCCCTCTGTGTCCATATTTAGCTTACATCTCTGTGCTGTTTTGGCTCAACAAAACATCTTTAAAAAAAAAGGGGAATGGAAAGTTCTCCACTGTTACACAAAGAAATATGAGCTTGTGCTGGGATAAATCCTTTGTCAGCATGCCTTACATTTCTATGTAAAAGGGCACATTACTATCACTTAATCACTTCTTGTGTAAGATGACTACAGCAAATGGACTTTAAGCAATCATCTGTCCATCCTACTGCTGCAGATACTAAAGACCAGTACAACATCCATTCTACATAGGGAGCTTTTTTTAATTACTATTTTTAACTGGGTGTGTTTCCAACCCTAAAGCATGAGGAAGCACAGTGATACACTGAAGCATCAAGTGTCCTTTCAAAAGAAGTATACCTCTAACCCAGAGTAATAACCAGATATCAGAACTCAAAGTTGAGCATTTCGATTTTCGTTCTTTGCCCTGCTCTGATGGCATGTCCCAGGGTGCTTGATAAATTGCTCACTCCACCCCCTCCATAACTAAGTTTACATAAAAGCCTCCTACCTTCTGAAACATGTCTTGTCTAAAAGGTGATTGACCCTCATGTTCAGTCATCACAGTGATAAATGGGATGGTGGAATCACCACTGTAGCTTACACATGGGGCACACCAGTCTTAAGATAGCACACCTCCACAAAGGACATGTTTAAAATAATTCATTCTAATTCTAGCTGATTTTTCACGTGCAGGAAATACAATATTCAGATTTACAGACACAAGCTAACTTGAGCTATTTCTACAACAAATCTGTTATGCTTCTGCCCATGTGTTTCCACAATCTTGTGCTTAGGATATTTAGGAAAGTTACTTGAGTAAGTACTATGGACTTCTTCATAACCTTTTCTAAATCAACTTTTCTACCTTGTGGCCCTATTCCAAGCCAGAACAGAGGCAGACATGCAGAGGGGCTGCTCTCCACCCTCTCTTTAAGCTCAACATACCCTTAAACCTACAGGAAACAGAAAAGACAAAGCAGAAAATAAGAGGAGATGCAAAGAAGAAACGGACACCAGAAGTTTCAGAAAAAAACAATTTGAATAAACAGAAAATAAATTAAGATAGGAAGGAAAAATGCAAACAAATTTTACACATATTTCAGCTCATTATCTTTCAATCCAATATCTTCTCAGCTGAATGGCCATGAAAAATAAGATTATTCTTTTAAATTCTCTCACTGTCTTTCCAGATAGATGTCAAATAATTCCTCCAGTTCACATATGGGTCAAGGCAAGGCAGAAGAAGGGAGGAAGACCCTAAATAAAATTACAATTAACAATTTAGAAACTACTAAATATAGGGAATGGAAGCAGAAAAATATTCCAGACTTATCAATTTTGCCCTGTATGAATCAGCAAACTGCAGTCATGCAGTCTGCACAAATGTCCATGTCACACATTTCAGTTAAGCAGAATTCAGAGGAACAGCAACGTGGAACTATTTAAAGAACTCACAAACCATACACGATGCAGACACCATTAAAGGAGATCTCACCATTTCAGGTTTTGAAGAATCAGAGTAATTACAATAAAAACACAGTAAGATTAGCTAGAGAATGGAGATTACACACAGAAACACACACTCTGCACTTTTGGAATGCTAGCCAAATGCTTGTGTAACAATACAATATAAAATGAGAAGCCATGAACTACTTTATCCTGTAGAAAAAAAAAGCCCCACAGAATATACAGATAGAAGAATTCCTGGAAGAATGTTTTAACATATTTGAACTGCACCAACCATCTCCATCAGGCCCTGTGCAGAACAATGTTATACAGCCAGGGAATTTGGTGTTTTTCAATGTCAAATGATAGCAGTGATAATCATTTCTAAGAGATAAATAAATAAATAGTTTACCACTTTGCAGTAGTTATACACCAAACATTTCTCTCTCCTAGTGGGATCTCTTTCCAAATGCCATTGGCTCTCTATTTTCAGGCAAACTTAATAAATTTGACCATAAAAAATCTGTATTTCTCTACAGAATCACACCACGAGGTCAAGGCAGCAGATCTGACACAGGCAGTGGGCAGCAGAGGCAAGCTGGGCTGCCTGCAGAACAGAAAACAACCAAGGAAGACTGAAGAAGTGACAAGTGACTAGTCAATGGTACTTCTGTCTTTCACTAATTATCTGAATTGATTAATAATAAAACATCCTTTGAACCCAGTTCCCAAATTAATTATTTTTGATAGAAAAATGTAACATTAACAGAAGAAAGAAAAATTGCTGTGTGGCCATTCACCATACAATAAAAAGTTTTTACTATTATGGATAAGCAGCAGCACGGACTGAAACAGTTTGCAAACTATACACTATTTTAGCCAGTCCCTGATCTTGGTTTTTATGTTCTCTTCTTTGTAGCACAGCTGGCAATACAGAATTCTGTTTTACAGTTGGGTTTTCCTAAATAACTATATTTTATTTCATTAGAAGTGCCCCTCTAGCTCTTGAGCTTCTATTTGAAGCTTAAAAACTAAAGTCAGAATTCTATACAAAAAAAAGAGATCCATTGAGTTGCTCCATAAATCTGTCCTATGACTCAATTTAAAAAAAAGACACTTGAATTATTTGTCTTGCTGTTAGAAGCAGGAATTATCCAAACAAAGGTGCGGAGAGAAAAATTCAACCAGCTTGCCATTTTATCTACAGTGAGTTACACAAGCATAAACTCTAACTACTTTCTTACTCAAACAAAACCTGTAGAAAACAGCATTAAATAAGTCAAGAATTACTTCTCACACTTGCTCTGTTTGGAAATGAAAATAACTGAGTGAAGTAGCAGTCAAACTATACTACCTGTGACTGTCTCTGCTCAGATCAGTTCTGCCTGAAAGGGATTTCTTTAGTCATTATTATATGGCACAGATGTCCTTCAAGAAGACTCAGCTGGGGAAGCCTCCACCTTCACTTCTTGATACTCGTTTGTATCTTAATACAAGGAAACAAGCAGCAAGAAAAATAATGGAATCAAAAATTCTTTTCCAGCCCAGACAAGTCTTTGAGGGAACACATGACCCAGGTCTTTAAAGATTCTCAGCTCATATTAAACTGCTTGGTAAAGAGCAAACAGGTCTGCCTCTCGTCATAGAGAAAACAGGGAGTATCACATGAAGTTCTCAGGTAACAGCTCAGAGCAGAGCAGAGGAATGACTTACTGACACCCCACATGAAGTGCAGCTCTTATTGACAGAAAACATGGTAGCTGCAAAAACCATACAGAGGCTCTAAAGTTTTTACATGTTAGGTATGTCCATGAAACAAAAATCCATACTACACATCATCCCTCTGAGACTGGGAGAGCTGTCCAAGGGCTAACCCTATATTCTAGACAAGAGTGTAAGAGCAAAGCACCTCTGTCAAATGAGCACCTGCTGAGCTGTGGCAGAGGAGCAGAACTCAGAACAATGATCCTGACACATCCCAGGGTCTCAGAGCCTTAGGCTTCAGCAGAGAATAACAGATCAGACCAGTGTGGCTGCTCCTGTGAAGAATGGTCTTTATGTTGCCCAAAAAGAACACCTCAAACAAAAACCAACCCACCAGCAAACAAACATCATAAACAGAAAGAAACTAAGACTAGTGTTCCAGCCCATCACTGCTCTAAAATAGAGGTGAAACAGTGACTGTGATACTGTCCATAAAATATTTAGCTCTCTAGTGATGCCTGAGAAGATAATTTCCTTCCCCACCATTCACCGAGTGCTTTTTTTAAAAGCATTCAAAGAAACCAAGGTGAACTAAAGAAAGATCTTTTCCATTCTTATTGTAATTAAGGCAGCATTAACCATTTTATTCAAATGACAAGAGGCTTCCAATGACATAACTGACTACTAATATAACACCACAGGAAGTAACATGCAATTTCAGGGGGAAAAGGATGCAATATTTAACTAGTTCAAATATGTCTTCTGATATTAAAGGGGAAAAAAGCAAAAGAACAACCCCACAACCGTTTCTTATCATCTCAAAAGTGCAAACAGTTCAAGCCACAGACAGTCACACAGCTCTCTACTCCAGCAAACAATTATGAAGAGCACAGCAAACACTGTCCAGTGCTAGAGAGAATACTGGATGCACAGGCAGAGAAGAGTGGTTCCTACAATGACTCTCACAATCTGCTAATCCAGAATGCACAGCAACACAAATTGCTGGAAACATGGACTTTTGAAAGCTATCCAAGAAACCCTGCAGCCTTCCTCTAGCTCAACAGCACAAGCAAGAATCCCAGCAAACCATAACTAGCATGGCTGCATACAAGTTAAATAACTTTATCCTAAAACATCAAATCTTTGCAGTAATTATGACCACAACTAATTATTAATAATAAAAAAATAGTGCACAAAAAAACCCCACCAACTGCATAAATCACAAAATGTACTGATTATTTGTACATGGAGTTTCAATGACCTTTCCCTCCTAGAGGACATTCAGTTGTTTGTTGGGGTTCTTTTACACAATATAGAAACTTCTTTTATGTTATTTCCTTCTGCATATTATTGATTTCTTCAGACTGACACTGTAATTATGGTGAAGCTTCCTTCTCAAAACACACTGTAGCAACACTTCTAGGGCCCTTGAAATTATGCAGACTCACTTACTTGAGGATACAGCATCAAAGAGCTTACTATATTCCCAAAATATCACATCCCTCATATTGGCAGCCTTATTTTTTAAAGAGTATAGACCATTCTGAAAGAAAAGGAAACACAGGAAGCAGAACATGGTAGAGCAGATCAACTGACTGCACAAGGTTTTTCTTACCATGAGTTATGTACTTGGGGGGTGAGGGGGACAGCAAAAACAGCTACTGAAAACCTTGTTAAACTTTTAAACCTTCTAAACAATTGTGTTCATGCACAACAGATCCCACAAAGCCAATGCTCTGGGATCAGAACTGACTGTCCCTGGCAACACACTCAGCAATACCAGCATAATTTTATGTGCAATATTCAAGTCAGGCTTCCAAGCACCAAGAAAACAAAACAAAATAAACAAAAACAACCCCGCCAACAAATAATAAGAAAAAAAAGCACCAAACATACATAAAACTGTGAGTTTTTATCTTTCTCTCAAAGCATAAAACCAAGGTAATCTGGTACCTGACATGTCTATGGGTCACTGAAAAAAAATTCTGAGAAAAATACACACATTCCTCAGCACCACTGGACTTTGGACACATACACATTAACTTTCAGCCACAGCAAGAGACAAGAAATATTTTGCAAGTCTCTGACAGAACTGCATTCTCTGTAAGACAGGGATTTAAGCACCTCACAAATAAAGAGCCAACAATTCCAACCCCCATACATTACAGAAAAACAAATGTGTGTCTTCTCTTCCTGAGAGAAGACTGCTCTGAATCTTCCAGACTTTATCTCACAGTGAAAAACATTCACTGCTGAAGCCAGACTGAGGCAGTCTGGATTAAACAGATGGCACTCTATTTAGAACAGTTTCACTGTTAATAACATGATAATGGCATTCCTCCTGGAAATCTTCTCATGCACTTCCAATACCCCCATTAAGAAACCCTGAAACCCAGAAGTCGATTTCCATCATAATATATTGGGAAAAGGCACTACAGTCTACCCTGAAATTTCACTGGCATCATGCTGCAATGTTTACTCTTATGTTAATAGGAGTATCAAAAATTAACAGAACAGTTTGTATTCTGCTAAAAAGAAACAATATTGTCTTGCATACAACTGAGAAGCAATTAAAGTCTTCATAAGTCACTGACTGTGTAGTTAACTTTTACCAGTTTCTTTCCAGATGAAGCAGACTGTGTGCTCAAGTTTGACAAACACTAAAATAATTGTAACTAACCAGATACTAAGGCAATTGACACTTCACAGTCCCGCAGCAACACATGCAAAGCGCCGAGCTCCTGACACCAGCACTCAGTGAAACCAAGCCATCGCCTCGCTCAGGAGGCAGTTGTCAAAAGAATTCCTCACTTTCCCTTACCTTTCAGTGCACTACCAGGATCTCGGGACGCCTCTCCGCTTCTCCTACGGAAACAAACAGCAGTGTTCTTTTAGGACAAACCCACTGAAAGCCGAAACTCGGCTCCCGGCGCCAGGCGGGCTCGCTGCGAGCTCCGATTTCTCCCGCAGCTTCTCCCCGCGCCGAAGCGCGCCCCGGGGGCTGGCAGCGAGCGGGCACTGCCCGGGCCCGCCGCCGCTCCCCGCGGCCAGGGGGAGGGCGGGGGCTTACATAACCGGGGAGGGGGCGGCTGTCCGAGCCAGGGGAGCGCCAAGGGGCGGCAGGAGAGGGAGCGGAGCCGCAGGGGCACGAGAGGGAACGCGAGCGGCGCCGCCGGCGCGACTGCCGGGAACGCTTCGCGCCCCCGCACGCACAGCCCCTGCGGCGCTCCCGTCCCTGCCCGCACGCCGGCAGCGCAGAGGGCGGCGGGCAGCCCGCGGAGAATGGGAGATCCCGTTCCCGGTGCCGGCCCTCACCCCGCCGCCCCCTCACCCCGCTCTCCTCCTCCGCCGCCACCTCCAGACACCGCCAGCCCCGCACCTCAGCAACGCGCCCGCCCATTGGGCCACGCCCCCCGCAAGAAGCCGCGCACTGATTGGGCGCCTTCCGCTCCGCCGCTCCTTCCCCCGGCGCCTCAGCCCGAGCCGGCGGCGCTGCTCCTGGTGCGGGCCTGTCCCGCTGGGCCGTGCCGGGAGCGTTGCGGGGGCACCGGCCCGGGGAGGGGATCGGAGAGCGGCTCCACGGCCCCTGTGTCCGCGCCGGGCCAGCGGGAAGGGCCGGAACGAAAGTTTCGCGGAACCTGCGTGGCTTGCTCGCGCTTTCCGTAGCGGCTGGTCCAGGACTGGGTTCCGGTTCCGGGTGGTGGCCGCGTCCTGAGCAGGGTCGCGGAGCGGGCAGGTACCGCGGGCGGGGCTGGCACCGGCACCGACACCGGGCTGCGCTGCTGCCGCCGCCGGGCAGGGCAGGGGGGGCGGGATGGGGCTGGGGTGGCTGTCAGTGCGCGTTGTGCCCTCCCTGCCCTGCTCCGTCCGACCTCTGGGCACAGCTGCGCTGGCTCTGCGGGCAGAGAGCGCCCGGCCGGCGCTGCAGCACAGCCCGCTGGCCGCGGCGTTACCTTCCCTCTTGTAAAACGTGAATGCTGGGGGGAGAGAGGCCTTGGGTTTCTAGCACAGGGCTGGAGCCTGGCATCTAATTTACGGGGAGCTTTTCGGGTAATGACAGCGTTAAGGCTGCTCTCCAGGTTTTCTCAGGTAGCTTGCCTTCTGTCTGCTTGCCTTCACGGCTTGGAGTCATCTTCAAGAGTTACAGGCTTTTGAAATTGCATCCTGCATTCCAGTCAATTTTCTAAAAGTGAATCTGTTCTTGCTACCTGATAGGTGTTAAAATGGGAAAGCTTGGCTCAGGGAAGACTCAGGTGCTTTGTGAAAATGGAGCCTTAAAAGCTATCATTTTCTTCTGGTCCTTAATCATCTCACCGAAAATGTTCCACTTCACATCTGTTTTTAAAGAGAAACTTAGTATTTTTGTAGTTGTCCAAGGTGTATGTAAATAGAGCATACAATTTTTCAGCCTTATTAAGCAATGGGTAAGGTGCATCTCTCCTGGCCCTGTTGATGTCACAGTTATATCTGACTGAACTGGAGGCAGCTGAAAGGAGCTGAGGAGCCAAGTCTGTTTTTCTTCAGAGCTTAGCAATCACAGCTTTCCCACACCTAAGTCAGAAATTTTTACTCTGATTTTTTTGTGATTTTTCTGGAAAGTCTGGAAGTAATGGGGGGCTGGTGTTGCTGAAGTGCATTTATAGACATGGAAACCATTGGTTTTCTTACACTCTTCTCTGGCACAGAGGGTTGACATAGGTGCTCCATGGATGTAGCAATGGTTGTGACTTACAGCACAGTGATGTTTAAGTTTGCTTTACTGTATGTAATCACTCAGCTCTGAAACACAGCACAAAGTCCCTTGGCTCTTTGTTTTACAGAACAAAGCTCTTTGTTCTCTGTTTCTTCTTGTTGCCTCCCTGTTTTTCCTGTACAGGGGATTGTTCTTTGCAAGTGTATAAAAACAAGATGGTCCTCTCTGCCAAGTAACAGTCTGACCTTTTCCCCAGGTATGGGACACGGAGGTGACCACGGCCACGGGCACGGCCATGACAAAGTGGAGCTGCCCGACTACAGGCAGTGGAAGGTGGAGGGGACTCCCCTCGAGGAGGTGCAGAGGAGGCTGGCAAAGAGGGGGCTGAGGGACCCCTGGGCTCGGTAAGTGAAGAGCCTCAAAAATCATCCTGTTGTGGCATCTGCTAGCATCAGCCAGACCTTGGCAGTAAGAGCAGTGCAAATTATCAGCATTTCAGTAAAGTCTGAAGGGGATTGAGCCAATCATATGAAGGTTCAAATAAAGAAAAAAGCATGAGATGATTCCTTCTGAATTTCTTAAATTTCATGTAAAGTCATATGTCAATTCTATAGGACAGTACAAGCATCATGCCAATTTTCCTTAACAAGTGAGAAATTAAGGTATCATGCTACTTGCTCCAGTAGTCTGGCAGGAGATTGTATTATTAATGTCTTGCACCACAAGTCTTCAAAGTCACCCTCTCCAGAGCTCCCTCTCCTTTGGTATGCCGGGTTCATTTTAACAGGGAATCTGCTTTCAACCTTTATGGCAAATGCACATGATTGTACATATTAAATACAAGATAAGCTTTGTGAAAGATGTCATATTTGGAAACTTTATATCAATTAGGCCCTGTACTGGAACCTAGGAGCTATTCTTCCATGCCAGTGTGCTTTCATCCTGAGTCACAAAATCCATCTGCACAAAAGGATCATCTGTGAACATAAATGTCTGCCCTCCTTGGTTTAAACCCTGGTATTTTCTCCCCAAATTACAGTTTTTATTTTATTGCTTAGTTATTCTTCCTTTTCTTAAGGACTTTTGAGTCCTTGCAAGAGACAAATTACACCCATGTCCATAGATTACACTGGTTGTGCTATAAATAAATAAATATTTGTAGTCAGAGCAGTGATTAATGTTTCAATAATAATGGAGGTCAAAAACAGCAAGGCAAAACGGTGAAGTTTGCACATACTCTGTAGCTCAAGCTAAACACCATCTTTTCAGTCTTTCTTGTTAAAATCATCTGACTCTCATATAGCTGTGTTGTATTGTGAAACAGAAAGTGCCTCCACACTGAGATGAGCTATCTGTGGATTGTAAGATTTGACTGTGCTGCATACTGTCTAGCACAGTGACTAGCCTTTGTAGATAGTCCAATCCATGTTAGTGCTAGTGGGCTCTGATTTGGTACAGACTAAAAACTAAAATTACATGATTTTGAGGAGGTGATTCTGTTCCTATAATTGTGTTGTTTGCTGGCAGTACTTGTATCTCAAGTTATATGGTAAGGGTTAGAGTTCCTATCATGAACTTTACTTGCAATTCCTGATACTTAAATGACAGAACATATTGTACAGCCTCAATGTCTATCTAATTGAAATACCTTCATCATTCTTTAATATATTTATATTCTTGTTAATCTGTATCACAGTGGCTCCCCTGATCTTTTTTCCCTTTGGTTTCATTTTCCTTTCTAGTAATGAAGCATGGAGGTACCAGGGTGGCTTTGCAAGACCTATCACCGTAACAGAAATCTTTACCAGGGGATTCAAGTGGGGGGCTGCAGCTTTTGTCATAGCTCTAGCCATTGAATATTCACTGTTTCCTCCAAAGAAGAATGGAGGCCACCACTGAAGATCAAATATGACAACTTAATACTTATTAATCATAAGCTGAAGCATACATAAGCCTGCTGCTCACTCTGTACTTATAATATGCATATTAAAGTCTATCACAGGCAAACCAGTGTTTCTTTGATCTTATTATACTCCTGCAGAAGGATCAAAAAACATGGCCAGAGCAATTTAACTGGCTTCGATCTGGGGGGAAAAAACCAACCCAAGATGGCTCTTGGGTTTGCTCTACTGTCCTTTAAAGAGCAAGGTAAGCTATCACACCGGCTCTTTCCAAGCCCTGCCTTGATTCTGTTAAATGAAATTGAGAAGTTTGTTGGTTTTAAGAGAAAATTTGTACCATATTTATTACAGGTTTAATAACTATTATTTCCCAGTAAGCAGTAATGAATGACTTGTAATTTCTTAGAAGTGTTGGTTAGTATTTGCTCTTATGTCTCCAAATAAAAATAAATATTAACTTAAAGCTTTAAAACCAACTCCAGACTGCCTCAAAGTATATGAAAGTACCAAAGCTTATACTTAAACCTATTGAACAATTAGCCTAGCAGACACTGTGCACCAGAATAATCTGTGTAATATCCAGACATCAAAAGTTACATTGCTGCCAAAAGTAGAATAAAATGTTTAACTTGGCAATAACTGTACCTTACCCTAAAATGTCTTCCACCATACTTGACTGTAATGTTAAAAAAGAGAACAATTTTTTTCTTTTGCTCTGGTGTATTTATAGATTTATTTATTTTTACATCTAGTCTCTTTTAGCAATTTGTTTTAAATGTCCTGGTTTTCTGTAAATTAACAGCTTCTGGACTGCTTTAAGAATGCCTGGACTGAATACTAAAGCAGAAAAGGACCTGTGGGCAGTATATGTCCTCTGCAGTACCAGGAATTATAATTGTCTGAATATCCTACTGTAAATTTTGTTATGTATGCCATTAGTAACAAAGTAAGGAGGCTATGTTACATAGCACAAACAACAGGACACCCATCACTGAAATGAAAAGCAAAATTAGACAAGTGAGAATGCCACTAAATGCCACTAAATAATTACATAGTATACTTGCATGGTGAAGAAATTGATGTTTTTAAACAATCCTGTCACAAATTGCAAGTTTACAAAACAGTTGAAGGTTCTACCAAAACATGGCTAAAATCTCTTTTTTTTAAACTTACATATTCACACGCAATCCTTCGGAGTGAGATTATAATAGAGCTTTATTTTTAGAGCCAATAAACAACATCTGCTACTGTGTGAGTGCAGATGTACAGTTCAGTGGAGTTTGTCATTTTTGCATGACATTGCTCAAGGCACTGTTCATAGTGCAAACACTCATTTTAGTAAACTCTTGCTTAATCCATTTCTCAAACATTCCTATCCAGCTGCATCATTCCCTGAAAAACCAAGAACCTACTGTGCAAGATCTGTTGCACAAAAAATTTCTATTGTCCCTTAGGTACTCTTACCCAGAATATGCATTTTCAATGGCTGGTACTCACTGCTTGTTTTCTATCTGGCTCCAAGACAACTTTCTAGGGAGTACTGAATTTCAGATGTCTGTTCAGGAAAATAAGTAACAGAGTTAAGTATTACAATGTTAATAATTTGTACTGATTTGTTACTGAAGTTAATAATTACATGAAGTAGAGCGAGTCTTTTCGAATGGTATAAGCCTGCCACTTCACTGATATAGCAAACATATCAAGCATATTCAATTAGACAATACTAGTTTTGGTAAAATTTATGCATTTGTGAATTAAAGTGGTATCATTTGGTGGTTTAATAGCCAGATGGCAGCCACTGCCCTAAATGACTGTCTTTAATTTATGATGAACATATTTTGCTAATTTTGCAAAATACGTCTCACCATTATTACACATACAATACTCATAAATATTTTATTTCACAGGTATAATAATACCAATCCAGCCTGGGGATGGAATATTTCTTGTGTATTAAAATAATAGTACCAAATGTGTCTTCACTGTAACCATAGCAATGTCTGTCCTTATATGAGAACAGCCTTTCTACCAGCATAGATATTTTACAGTGCAAAAACCAGGGTCACAAACAGCAGTGGCACCAGCAGCTGAAGAACATACATTATTGTAATACCAGACAGGAAACTCTTTTTGAATCACAAAGTCTGAAAAATAAAAATGATGCTCCACTCTTTGCGTGGAACAGATCCAAGGAGAAATTGTGCATATTGATTCACAGTAGGTAGCTGGTTTCCTTCTGAATCAGCTACATCTTAATAGCAGTGATACCGTGATAGCCCTGAATGATTGATATTACAATGAGAGCCTGACCATACAATTTCAGTAAGAATACATGCATTTTTTCAGAACACAGAGCTGCTACTTGGTACAAATTCTAGTGTGGGTGAATATTTTCTGTCTCCTTTTTCCCTGCAGTTCCAAAGACAGCGTGACTCTTCATGTGTGCTACCCCAGAGTACTGCACTTCCACTGCTCTATTTTTAGCAGCACAGAAAAATGACTCACTGTTTCATAAAGGCTTTGAAATCCACTGAGCTGGGAGTTATATGTGTCTGATTTCACCATATAGGGAGGTAGCTTTTGTCTGGTTCAGAAAATTTTAGATTTTAGGCCTTTTGGAGAGCAGCTCCAGCTGCAATGCTAGCATCCCGCAGTAAACGGCTTAATGAAAGTTGCTAGTTTATGTCAAGGGAATAGCAACATCCAGTTTTCAGGAACAAGGCGTTACGCAATATTTACTTAAGATTATACAACAGGAAGCATACAACTTTCACACAGCTGTACGTTAGCCTCACTGTGAACGAACAAATTCAGAGTGAGCCACGAGCCATAGAAGGGGTTAGGGCTAAACTCCTGTCAAAACACGTGCCCGCACTGACCGCAGGCCTGTAACCGCTCACCGAAAACCCTGCTACAATTTCATAGCTCGCAGGGCCACCACAGAGCCGGTCTGCGTGTCCCCAGAAACAAACACACAGGACACAAACACCGCTCCGAACCTGTGCACCCGCTGAACCCGGCACCGCGCCGCCGCCACGGCCTCCCCCCGCAGCGCTGCCCCGGCCGCCGTGTCCGTGCCAGGGGGAGGTACCGGGAGGCGCCGCAGGCCCCGTCCCGCCTCCATCCGCCGTCGCTCGGTTTTGTTTGTTTGACTGTGGGGTACAGCGGGAAACAAAACTAAAACCAACATCCTGCCTCTCCCCATCCCCCCCCTGGCCCGGCGCTGGCCAGCGGGCCGGTACGGCCTCAGCTCCTCCCTGCTCCAAGTGGCGGACCTGGCTGCTGTAGAGACTTCCCCGACTCGTCTGGGTGCGTTCTACCTTCCCCCGCTCCTTTCCCCCCTCCTTCCCTCGCACTTCCCTTCCCACAGTGCGCTCTGAGCACAGGCGGCCCAGCGCCGGAGCGGCCGCTGCGAGCGGGGCCCGGGCTCGGTCTGGGCTCATGGTGAGAACCGAAACCGAATGTGATTTTAAATGACGCGCTTAGAAAAATTACTGGAAATCTGTATAAATCACGTTTAGTAGTTGGGGATTTTTGATTGGTTTTGCGTCTTTGGTGTTTGGGGTTTTTTTGTTTTGTTTCAATTAGGAGGACTGGGACCTTAAAACAAATTAGCGTGGTAAGGAATGTGGTGATCCCCGCAGCAATTCCCTGTTTTTCCTGAGTACGTTGCGCAAGTTCTGTTGAAGGCCGTAGGGCAGTGAGGCAATAGGGGAATTTAAAAGGTGTGGAGCATGCTCTGCGACTTTGAAAAATGCCAGATGAGCCTCCTCCTAGTGCAGCCGTTCCAGCAGCGCAGCCAAGGCAGAGCGGAGCGCAGCCCGAGCCCCCCGGCCAGGTCATCTCTGGTCTCCCCTTCCAGCACGGCTCTTCCGGCCGAGCTCGTCTTGGGAAGAAAGATCATTTCCTAAATCAGAACGACACCCACTGGAGTCATATCCTGGTTTTGTTGCTGCAAAGATGACTGTGAAAGGTTCAAGATGAAAAATGCCAGCAAGGAGTTAACTGGAGCCTTGTGCATCTTCGTGTGAAATTTTAGTGTGTTATTTCCTGCTCCTTTGCTAAGGTGTTAAAAAAAAAAAAAAGCCTAATTAGACATGCACATGAACACAAAAATTATTGAGGCAACTCTATCTCTGATGACTATGAACTTTTTTATTTTGTCTTATAAAAGATAGGCTGATTTTTCTCTCCTCTTTGTAGAGAGTTTATATTCAGTAAGTCATCTTGCTGCAGAGCCCAGATAATCAAAAGTTAGGCTGCTGGGTATATGGTGTGGTTGCTTTTTTTCTTTAACTTTTGCATCTACAATGACTGTATCTGTTATATTTGAAAAAGGGGTCATCAGATGGAAGACAGGAGCATTATGTCCTTTATCTCTTATGGCAGAGTGGATTGGCAAAGTTACAAACTGTTTTAGTTTGTACTAAGAACTCACTTCCTGTTGCTTTCACTCATTCCCCACACAGTACCCAATGAATGTTATCTGCACAGCTGGTTTTCCTTTATTTAGAGCACAATTCCTGTTCACTGCAGTCATACAGGAGAATGACTGACCCTTGTCATTTTCTTTGGTTTTCCCAGCCCATAAAATTAGGAAGTAGCCCCCATAGTAATTTGTGATCTTGACATTTGTCCAGCAGAGAATGAGTTAATGTAGTCACTGGAAAATTCTGGATGGAAACCAATGTGTTCTGGATCAGTGGTTTGGCAATGGTCAAATGCCAGTTTTCCCGTGTTCTTATGAACAGTTTTACATACAGGTAAGATAATTTCAAGACTGAGTAGAATCAACAATTTTTTATAAAGAGCATGTAATGTACCATATATAAAGGAAATTCACAAGAGGATTCATATGTGTGTTGCAAAGGCAAATTATTTTAAAGTTAATATATAAATAGTAATTCTGCATGTTTGAAATTCCGACTCGGTGGGAAATTCCCCAGTAACACACACCCTTCCTCTGTTTTTTTTTAACTGGTTTTAAAAGATTAGATAAAAATCAACTGGGGTAGTTAAAAAGTTTTTCTGGTATTTCCAAAAATGACCAAAAGTTGTTAAATTCCTATTTCACTTTAGAGTTAAACTATTACTTCAAGGTCTTTTGAAAGTCCCAGCTAAATGTACCTGTGAGATTCTTTCATATGAAGGTGCTTTGTGCCTCGCTCTTCTTGACTGCATTCTGTCATGAAAACAGTGTCATTCTATAGAGTTCTCACAAGTGTTTGATGCTAGATTGAAAATAAGTTAGCAATAGATATGCTTTTCTTCTGGTAGAAAACTTTCCAAAACGCATTACGGTGCATGAGGGGTTCCTCTGTTTTAGATTAATTTATCTCACCTGCTTAATTATGGACACAATATGTGACATTTTTGATTGTAACTTCTAGAATGTGTAGCAAAAGGATGAAAATGCTGTAAAAAAATCTAATTCAGGTGCTAGAATCTTTTGGTGTATTAGGCTTTGAAGTTGAATTGGCATTTGCTTTCCACTATGGTGTAAATAAAACTCTGCAGTATAGTGATCAAACTCTGTGGAAGGACTAAGATTTGTCTTTAGGTTTGCTCATCTGCCACTTCTCTGTATATGTAATGGAGGTCAGAGGAGGTTAGATAGAATTTCCATAGTTGGTGGCAGTGGAAATTGAGCACAGCACCCTCCTGATTTTGTTAATCACGAGGCTGGGGGTTTTTCTAAGTTTGAATTTTTGTTCCAGTTTTCAGCATGATGGTACATGAATGTTTAGTGAAGAAAAGATGATCTATGGCTTATCTATACCTTCTGAATTAACCAATTTGCATATTTAAGGTTGGAGTATTTTCTTTGAGTGGGTTTTCAATCTTTTTGAGCATGGAGGGTGTGTGTGGAAAATCCTTTTAACTCCAGATTAGAATAAATTTAAATGATGTTAATAACAAGAAAATACATACACTCTTGAATTTACAGATAATTAGTGGTTTTAAAATTACATGTTATATTGTTGCTTGGAAAAGGGCAGAGATTTTGGAAATACTTGATCTACCACTCATCAGCAAGCTGATGACTTATTTCACTTCCTATGGAATATACAGACTCACAATAACGTCATTTACTCTAAAAAGAATTTACATGTCTTTCTGATTAGTATGACCTTCCAAATACTTTTAGTTTTGTAATGAACAACTGGGAGATTCCCTTGAATAAAGGAGGTCTGAATAGTGTATGTTGGAGTTTAGTTGAAAGTTAGATGCTTCAGATAGGAGAGTTAACTGTGGACTTGTGCAGCAGATCACTGATTTATTGCCTTTTAATTCTCTCCCACAGAACTGTCCTAGAAATGCACCTAGGTAAGAATGAACAGAAGAGAGGTACTGTGGTAGACACAGGCTTTGTGTCATGCTGGTTTCCAGTTTAAAAGCCAGTAGGCTGGCAATTTTAAAGGAACAGCAGCAAAGTGATGACCAGGTGCCAAGTGCCAGCTTTCCTTATTCATCAGATTCAAGAAGAATTGGGTAAAGAAGAAGAAGAGATGATGGTTTTCCTGTGCCGAGACCTTGCTCCTGACTTGGCCAATGCTGATCTTAAAGAGATCCTGCTGGCTTTGAATGAGAGAGAGAAACTGACTCCTGTTGGCTTATCTGAGCTGTTGTACAGAGTTAAGAGGTTTGACTTGCTGAGGAGGATCCTGAACACTGAGAAAGCAACAGTGGAAGCTCACCTTGCCAGGAGTTTCAGACTTATCCCTGATTACAGGTAATATATCTATTTCAGATTTCAAAGCTACACTGTCTTGTTCAAAATATGTGGTTTGTTTTTGGTTTTTTTCCTTTGTTTGGAGGGGTGGGAGCAGTATGGGCGAGTTGTTTTTAAATTTTTTTTAAATTTATTTAATACTTCTCAGATTCAGAGAATATTTATTGAAAGTAGAAGAAAAGCAGAAAAGGACATTATATCTAGAGTTGTAGTTCAAAGAAAATGTCAAGTTTAGTCCCTGAATTAAACTTCAGTAGTTTCTCACTAGTCATGGCATTAGAAGCATCTATATTTAAGGAGTTTGTGTGTTTGTGCATATAAACAGTGATGTTTGTAGAGTTCTAGATTAGCAGCTAAAAATGACACTTTAAAGAATATCATTGGTTACACATATTTTCTTTTCTGGTTTGCTTTGGGGACATAGCCACGTGGTATAACTTTTCTCAAGGGACCTCTCTCTTACTTGTTTTACTCTATTAGTTTTGAGAAGCTTAAATTAAGAAATTCCAGTTATTTTCTTTGAGAGACTTCAGAAAGAAATCCATATACTCATAAGGAAGATTTTCCTGTATTAAATTCTCACTAAAATAAAAATCATGTAACTAAGAGGTAAAAAAGTTAAAGATGTATTCTGTTGTCTCATTCTCTCACTTAATCTCTGTCAAACATTAAGGAAACTTCTGTTTTCCTAACAGTAGCTATTACAATGTGAGTCTGAAAAACACAGGTGAGGATTAGCAAGAGTATTTTATAATTGGATCTTGAAACAGGGTACATTTTTTACCTGTTTCTTAGTTAGAAATCGTAGATTGAGACTGGAACATCGGGAGAAGTTGAGTAGTTGGGAAAGGGAGGAATCTTGCTGCAAGCTAATAATTTAGAAATATCTCAACTTTATTTCAGGGTACTAATGGTAGAGATAAATGAAAATCTGGAAAAAGATGAAGTGGGTTCTCTTGGTTTTCTACTCAGAGATTATGCACCTCGTATGAAAATGGCAAAAGATAAGGTATGTTTTCCTTAATTCTGGCATTCTCCTCATCAGCAAAGACGTTCAAGTAAAAAAATATGTAGCTAGACAGCAAAGGAAAGGAGTCTACTGCAAGGAGTATTGAGGCAGGAGTTCACAAACATCATGAAGCAGACAAGGAGTTGTGGCTTGTGTTTCATTTTGTTGATTTTTAATTCAAGGAAAAAGAAGCATGGAAAACTAGTAAAAAAGTAGGAGGGAACAGTGCTTGTTATAGTGTATGGTGGTTGAATGTACTTCATGGGCAGGCATTTAACAGAAATCTTTCTTCAGTATTTCTGACCTGAAAGTTTATGTAAGAATGATCTCGAACCAATAACCATTTGAACTCTGTCTTGAATTACAAAGTCACTTTTTGTTTGTGCTCTGCTTCACTTGCAAAAGAACACATATATTGTAATTACATCTTTATAGCTTTGCATTCTGAATATTTTTGTTAAGTCCTCTGAGAAAGCAGAAATTCAGTACAGAGTATTCAGAAACCTTGACCACCGTGAAGAGAAGACTGAAGATTTCTGTCTTCCTCCTTTGAGGGTTTTTTCCTTTTCTGTCTTCAGTCAGAGAAGGAGAGAGGCCCTGAAAATTTCCCAAAGCTTTTCTTGCCTTTTTCTTTGTGGCATGTGAGTGGCATTCACATTGGCTGGCTTTGTAGCAAAAACAAAATGCAAAACTGTTTCCTCAAAAGTTTAAGATTAATTTTTAAGAATATCACTTTGTAGTTTCTATTACTCCTGTAATAATATCAAGGATTCATATGTCTCTCAGATAATTTTCTTAGAAGGTGTAACATCTCTAATTGTTTATACAACCTTTATGACCTCTCCATGGTATTTTCTGTGTTGCTTTGTTACATCTGGTGGAGAAAAAAATACTGATGTGTTTGGGTTTATGTTGCTATTCTAGAGTTTTCTAGCCCTTATAATTGACCTAGAGAAGCTAAATTTGGTGGCTCCTAATCAACTGGATCTGATAGAAAACTGTTTTCGAAGTATTCACAGGATAGACTTGATTAGGAAGATTCAGACGTACAAACGCAAAGGTAGGATGCTCTTTTTGCACTGGTTACTCTTGATAGCAACAATCAGATGTGCTGAAGATAAAACTATGACTTACAAATAAGGGCATTTGCATTCTTCATAGATTTAGGTTTTCAAAACAATTGAAATATCATGGTGTATTTGTGTTTCTGTTAAATTTGCAGCTTCAGTGTCCTCCGTTCATTGTCAGCCAGTTTATGTAAATGCTCATCCAGCCTCTCTCCCTAATTTCAATCTGATTGAGCCTCCTTATCATTCAGGGGTAAGTATACAAGAAGTGACACAAATCCTTTGCTTCTAAATATTGCCAGACTTTTAAAGGAGATCCATCTTTCAGAACCTGAGGAATTAAAGATGGCTTGTGACTAAAATATTGCTTGATTTCCTTCTGTTGTTCCTGTTATTTGCTGAGTTTAGGATCTGATTAAAATCTGCCTGAGAAAGATGCCATTTAAAGGACTTCAGTGAATTTATTCCTATTAGTTGACCATATAAAATCTGTATCTTGAAAGTTTTTTTTGTATTACACTGTGGAGGGTGAAGTTTTGCTTTGACTGTTTTTTGCAAAACATCTTCTTCTTCTTTGTACCTTTGGACCTTTCCAGAAAAGTAAAGCTGAAAATGATAGCTTTCTTAGGAAGAGTTTTTCAGGGTTTTTTTTCCTGTGGTTTGTTTTAAACTCAGTTTAAGAAGATTTCTCAGTATTTGAAAAGTCATCAAATCCTATTGCATGCAGTATTCTTTATATTTGAGTTAGCTCTGATATTGTATTAGTATGACCTTTCTTGAAGTCTTTAACCTTGCTAAATGTGATGCTATTCATTGTAATGTATTCAGTAAACAAGCAGCTCCCTGCTGCTGTATAGGAAACAAAGTTCACATCTTCAGAGGCTTTTTCTTGCTGTTGACGGCAAGCTGGTGGGGTTTTTTTTTTTGTTTTTTTGGTTTTTTTTTGAGGAGGAGGAACAGTTGGGTGTTTATTTTATTTGTCTGTGCTCTGGATAGATTTTTTCATCTGTTTTGTTGTAATTCTATTTGGCTGATAGTAATTAATCCAAAATATCATTTTACCGAGGAAGAAATACTGCTGTGTTTTATTTTGGAACACGTTTATTAATTCTTGAAGGAGAATAGGAAAATTATGCCTTTTTCTTAATTTCAGATTCAGAATGAGAGCATGAAAAAATTACAAAATGGATCAAGTCTTACTCTGGGTAAGAGCATTTTATCTAAAAGAGCCAAATGATGAATTTCATTACATCAAAAGGACTGCTATTTGATAATTGTGTTCATGGCTAATCCTGTTAATAACATCAGGAGCAGACGGTATTTGATATCTCTCAGAACTGAGCCTGGCCTTACTGTTTGGTCTTGTATTTGCTTTGCTTGCACTGCCACATCTTAAAGCATTCTTAAAAATTGTAAGCTTCCACTGTCAAAACTTCTTAACAGAATAAATATTTTATTAGTAAAACCATGGATAAAATTGGCTAGCCAGCTCTGGAGGCCTGTGTAGTGCAGTTCTGCCCATTAACTCTGGAGAAGGAAGTTTTTGTGTCAGTTCAGCAGTGAACTGCCCACCAGGCCAGCCAGGAAGTTGTGTATTGAATACCAGGTTCTTTCCATGTATATTTTGTTTTCTCTGGAAACCTCAAATACCTCTTAAATATGGTGATTTTTAAAATTAGTTGGGTGAATTCTTTCAGTGTAGAAGAGATTCATTGTTTCTTCTAGTCCCAAGTAATGCAGAATGAAATCCAGCTAACATTTTAGAGGTGAATAATTTAGGGATTTTTAAACTTCAGTGGCATACAAAGAAACTAAGCAGTCCCAATGGGTGAGAACTTTGCTGAAGTAGATACATTCTTCTTTATAATTGATCTGGTGATTAAAAGAGATCACTGGCATTTGCATACTGAGATTGCTTCTGTATGTTTTAGCTGCAGCAGAACCGCTTCACTTGTCCATTGAGGAGTCAGGATCAGTGCCACATAAGGTATATTCTTGTGTATATGTATGCATGTAAATAAATACAATCTCCGTGAATATTTTCCTTAGTTTTTTTGTGTTTCATTTTGATATTTCCTTGAGTTCTGTTCAGACAGAACAATGGGTACATCCTCAGCCATAAACAGGTTCTGTGAATTGTTTTTGGAGAATATATTTGAAATATAAAATATTTGCTACTACTCTGGAAGCAGCAGTGTGGAAAATACATGTATATATGATGTGCACACGGAAATCACACATTTTTAGTGGAGACCAAGTTAAAACCTGTTGAAGTTCAGACCTCTTGCCACATGCATTAGAAATCACAGAGTTCTTTGCATGCAGTAGATTTTGTTCTTGATTCCTTCCTCACCCCTTGCTTTCGAGGCAGAAGACAGACATGCTTTGGGGATTAATAAGGATGGCCAACTGCTGTTTGCACTAGTTCTCCTATAGGCCATGAACCAACCTGTAGGAAATTGATTTGCTTCAATCAGTTCTCTTCAGAGGGGAGAGGAATTGTGATACAGTCATTATGGATGACTTAGGAATAAGGAGGTTGTTCAAATAAATAAGGAAATAAATTTTCTGATGAGCAGTGCTTGCTTGCACACCTGAGGAATACAAAAGTTCTCCACATTTATTGTGTTGGCAGTATGAAGCTTGTACAGTTTTAGTCTCTGTTTAAGAATCTTTATGGTAGTGAGATTATGTAAGTATATAGTACAAGTACACAAGTACACAAAAACTAAGCCTGTACTAGAAATAGAGGGAAAAGAATCATTAGTCCCTTCCTCCTGTTTTTTTGTGACATAGATAAGACACATTACAACCCAGTAGACAGATTTCTGCTAGCTACTTGGTGGAAAACAACAAAATGTTATTTAATATATCTAAAACATAAAATTTGAGAAAATAATATGGTCTAAAAGTTGAGAAAGTGATGTATTAACTTTGTAATTGTCCTTTCACATTTCTCAGATGTCTGGTGATTCCTATAGAATGCAAAGTCAACCTTTAGGAATATGCCTGATAATAGATTGTATTGGCAATGACACTGGTAAGTCTCTGGAATTTTAAGTCTCTTAACTTGTTAATCTCAGATCATTAGAAGAATTTAGTTTAAAAAATATAATGTACATTTACCAGCCAGGTTAGGGTAGTGTTGTCCCAGTCATTTAATCTACCAATTCTAGTAAGGGTTCAAAGAGTTTGAAGGGACAACATCAGGTTAAAGCCAACTGTCCTAATTATTTGAGACAATGTTTGGGTTTTTTGGTGCAGAATCTCTGAATGAAAGAACTTGGAAGAGGATAGACTGAATTTTGGGATGGGCAAAAAGGATATTCAGCAACCAACAGAAAAATTAGGCTTACAGCAGTCATACAGTCATACAGCAGGTTATTGGCAGAAGTGGTAGTGTTTCCCACCAGCTAACAAAACCAAAACTGTTTTCGATTTGAAGTGCAGTCATATTGGACACCGGAGATTCTCAATAGCCATGAGGTCCTTTGTTATTGATGCACCTGGGCTTCTGTCCTATCTTGCACAGTTTGGCTGAAGGTGTCACCACAGTGAAACTGAAAGTGTCACCTCTGCTGGCAGTGTAGTCACTGCCATGGTTGAAATGTGGGCGTTTCCTAATTGCCTTTGTAGAATCCTAGAATTAGATCTTTGCACAGTCAAAAACACCCCTCACTCTCTAAGCGCTGTAACACATGAGGCTGAAAATAAAAATGAAGAGAGTATTTGCAGCCAGTTCTGTAATAGGCTGGGAGATGTAGGGAAGGAGAGGCTTTCCAGGCATGTCTTTTGGTTTTCTCAAATGTAATGGTCCAACAGATGAACTAACTTAGAATTGCTGATGTAGTTGAAGGGCAGTGCTTGTGGAGCTCACACACAGAAAGTCTGTATCTCAGATGTATAAAGTCACATTGTCAGCATTTAACAGGATAGAAGGCAAGACTTGCACTGAAGTACATTATGGTGCTAGTGGGATTCAGAGGAGATAGGGCATTTGGCATTGCTTAAAGGAGTTTGCTAGAAAGGCAGAAATAGTTGTGCCACACTATTGTGATATCTGAGTACACTGAAGAAAAAGAAGAGGGCAAGGAAAATATTTGAAATGGTATCTGTGGCATGCATTAGAATCTGTAGCTGTCCCAAGATTTAATCTCAGGAAGAGGAACCAGTAATAGATACTGTAGGATCAAGAATTACAACACTTTATAATGCCCAGTGTAAACAGCATGACTTTATCAAATGCTGATAAAATTCAAATAGAAATGCACCTTTCTCTTTTAAATAAATAGCTGCTTTTGACTTTTAAGTAAATAGCTGCTTTTGACTTTTTCATTTGGAAATCAGTTTTAATCCTTACACTATAAACAATGAGAGGAGAAAAGGCTAGTGTTTTATGTAGAATGGAGATGCTGAAAAATCAGTGGAGTTTGTTGGCAGATGGCTAGTGTTGAAGAAATAGGTAGTTTCTGATCTCAGGCTACAGCATGTAATTCTTTTCCTACCAGAAGCTGTGCATGGGCAATGTATATGTGCTTTATACTAAAGATCCAATGCTGTACGTCATAGTAGCAGCTCGTGGTTCTCTGAACACTTAATACCTGTGGTTTTAACCACTATGTATCTGGTTTCAGTCCCATGTTAAGAAACATCCAAAGTAGTTATTCAGATCTTAACACATTTTCCTGCAGCACAGGTTAACACAAATACAGTAAGAGTTAAGTCTTGTGGTTTGGCTACCTACAGTTTTAATTTCTAACTTGATTGAAAGAGTTCATTATTCAGCTTTTTTTTTTTTTTTTGCCTGAGAATGCCATTCTGTCCCAGTTAAGACTCCAGTGTCCACTCTTCACCTGGAGCTCATCACTTGAATTTTTAGGAAGCAAAAATGACTGCAGCAGGTTCATTTTTGACTGATGAAAGAGAACCTCTGTGTTTCTTATGCAGTTCTGTGTATCTATAATAGACATTCAGAGTAATTGAGACCAATTAAAAGGTGGAGCAGACTTCCTATGCTGTCCAGATCACTCTTCATAATTTCAAGTGTGGTTTTTCTTGCCTTATATTTTAAGTCTTAGGAATCTGGAATACTAGCTCTAAAGGAAAACATTTAAATGTCTGTGGAATGTGAACAGGTACACAGTGTCTCTGCTGTCATGAAACATGTAACTCACAGGAAAGACAACATGCATATAGCACTACAAGTATGCAATGCACTGTGATCAACACCAAGTACTCCTGATTTTTTTAATTATTGTGCTAAAATAAACTACTTAGTTTCAATAGAAAAACACTCTAAGTACTGTAATTCAATATAGTTGAGATTGAGCCTTGGTGTGCCTTGGTTTAATTACTTCTTGCTTCTTTCAGATGTGTTGGAAGAGACCTTCAGAGGCTTAGGCTATGACGTTCATTGTCACAGATATTTAAATATGAGCTCCATGAATCAAACATTGCTTGAAGTTGCAAGGTGGCAGAAACACAAAAATTGTGACAGCTTCGTTTGCATATTGGTCAGCCGTGGAAACTCTCAGAGCATCTTCTGTACAGACCACACCTTTTCTGGATTCCCTTTGGAACAAATAAAGCAATACTTTACAGCAGACTCATGTCCTGGACTCCTAGGAAAACCAAAGCTTTTTTTTATTCAGAGCTATGTTGTGCCAGAAAATGAGCAAGAATGTACCTGTCTGTTGGAAGTTGATGGCAATGCTGATAATAATATCAGAGCTAAAGTCACTATTCCCCATACAGCAGACATCTTTTGGAGTCATTGCAAGGTGGATGTGTCTACACTAGAACAATCCCCAACTGCACCCTCAAAATATCTACGCTGTCTGGCTGAGCTACTCCGTAATCCTTATAAAAGGTAAATTAAAGGAAGAGGAAAGAAATAACTCTTTTTCTATTATAGCTTATTGTCATGGAGAATGAGAAACCTTAAATTTCAAACCATCTGCTCCTGAAATGTGTTTTCTTGCAGTGTCATAGTCTAAAAGACAAGTATCCTCACACAGTTGCATAGAAAGGTAGCCTAAACCAGGAGTGAAGTTTCTGATGTTACAGTGTAAAGTTAAAGTGTGTTATGGCATTGGGGTTTGCAGAGTGAGAAGGGAAGAACCTGTCCTGGATAATGTATGTCAGTGCATTAGACAGGATTGGAAACCTTCCTTCTGCAAGATGAACAGGCTTTGGTTAAATTGAGGATTGCCATGTACCATTAAGACAAGTTGTTCTTGCAAATATAAACAGTCAGTGCTACTTAAGGATATCAGGACAAAGGCAATAGAGAGGGAAGGATTTTCTACTTTCTCTAAATTTAATTAACCCTTTATTCACAGAGCAAAGTGATTTCCAATATGTAATCTTGAACTTAAACTATCAGGAAACTTTTGTCTGTTTAAAGAGATCAAAAGGAATCTGTGGAAAAGGCAGATACATTTGGATATATAACTTACCAACACAGGCTTTATTTATACAGCTGATCTACTAGGGAACTAACTGTTATTCAAGGTAGTTGCAGTGCTAACATTTAGTACCTTTTTACAAGTCCTAAAGCCTTGTCCTGAAATTACAGATCATCATGTCAGCATAACCAATATCACAGCAATGATTTGTCTCAAAATGCATGTGCAGCCTTGTGTGTTAGAGGTCTTGCCTCTGCAGTAGAGACTGAAATCACAAACTTTCTCCATGCTGAGTCTGAACTTATCTTCTCTCTTGTGAATTCTTAAGTGGTGTCTTGCTTCATTCTCTAATGGGATGCTTTTGATTCTTTTGCTGCAGGAAACTCTGTATATTGGCTATCCATATGGAACTGAACAAAAAAGTTTATGATGGGAATATGACCGCTGACCCAAGTCAACAGTACTCACTGCTGCTCCAGCACACACTGAGAAAGAGACTTTTTTTCCCACTTGATTGCTGTTAAAAAGTACATATCTGATGTTACTAACAAGAAGCATTTGCTATGATGCAAAGTTTAATGCATACATTTATTTATGCATTGTTATTTCATGTATATCTAAAGTGCCTGTTGCTTCCAAACACAGGAATTTACAAGCATTTTAGTGTGCTAAGACACTAAATTTTGTATTTTAATATCATATTCTCTGAAAGCTTGGATGAGAATGGTAACTATTGTATAGCAGTGTAGCATATTTTGTTACAGAATGCCACGGGTAAACAGAGTGTAAAGAGATCTAAACTGTATAGCTGTTGGGTTTTCCAAGAAAAAACAGAAGTGTTTTTATTGCTTCATTGGTGGTTTTTAACATACCTTCTAGCAGTTAATATTTGAATAAATATACTGAAATGTATTGATTATTTTCCCCTGCACCTAGTAGTGGCAAATGGCTCAGGAAAGCATTCCTACCCAGTAATGCCAGATCTTTGCTGACAAGTTCTGGCTTGCATGCCTCTATAGACTGGCAAAACAGAAGGGAGAGAAAGATGGTCTTTTCAGTAATCTGGATTCCATCTGTTTGCTGCATTAAAGATTCCATTGTTGGAACTGTCCACTGCTCACAGGGGTTCTGTGTTAATAAATGAGACAGTCTGCCATGCTTTGGGCCAAGTATGTTTTCTGCTAATGCAAAAATGAGTGTACATGTGACAGGACATTACAGTCATCTGCCACACAGTTAAAAACATGCGGGATTTTGGCAGATGTCTTGTGGAAGCCGAAACATGATTCACACTCATTGTACCAGGCATCGTTGTAGAAAGATACTTCAAAATATTTCAATTTAAATGTAGAATGTAGCAGCCATTGGCCTTTAAGACTGTATTATGTTAAACACCCCACCCTTACTGCTTTTGCTTATGAAAAAGAATATGCCTCTATTAATTCATTTTTTCCCAAGTGCTCTTGTTCTTGTGAAAAAAGAAAAGATAAAATTGTCCTAAATACAAAAATTTTTCTCCAATGTAGCAGTTGCCCAACTAAAAGTTAACTGCCTTAAAGTTCAGTTAGCCTGCTTGTATAACCTAGATGGGTTGTATTGAAGTTTATTGTCACTGAACTTGGTGACAATAAAGTAGGCCACTGGTAAATATTTAATTTTTACTCCTAATATAGTGTCCTATGTGAGAAAATCATTCAAGGTCTTGGTATGTTCTGCTTGGTTTCTGTTTAAATTTTTAATGGAAAAAGAGAAGGATACAAAATGACAGATATGGAATATTAGAAGTTACTTCCTGTGGTGGCTGGTAAATGAACTAAATGGTGAAACAAACATTTCCTGTGGTTGTAGAAATAAGGGGTCATTTCAAGTTACATGTATCTAAGTAATGTTAAAAAATGTGATCTTCTTCACAGATTAACTTCACTTTCCTATTTCCTTTACTAGCTTTTGCATTTGACAAGCACCTCTGCTACCCTATAGACAGCCAAAAGCAGGGAGAATGGAACCAAGAGGAGACAGATGAGGAAAATAAATGTGGAAATTTTAATCAGGAACAAGAAGGGGAATGGTAGGGAGCATCAAGAGAAGAACAAGTAGGGGAAAGACGATTCGGAGGAGAAATACAATATTAATATTGGAAGGAGAAGAAAACAGGAAAAAGGAAGTGAGAATAATAGTGGCTGTCTTTACAGACTCAAACGATGTGGTGAGTTGGTTGATGTTTTGTGGATTGGTTGCTTGGGGGTTTTGAGTGATGCTAAATGCAACTATTTACTTAAAATATTAGCAGTAGAATATATTCTGCTTTTACAGTTTTGTGACAAGTTTGATTTGGGAGTTTAGAAGGATATATGTTCTTTGCCTTACTGCAAGACACAGTAAGTAAAATCCGTGTCCTTTTCATTAAGAAATGATGCAGAACTGCTGTTTTGAAAACTAGAGGCTCATGTAATCAACCCTTTCAGTGGAAAAGCAGGGGACTCTCTTTGTGAATGGCTGCTTGGTTGGAAGTGGTTGTAGCCCTCTAGAGTTGTGGGGACAGACACGTATTGTGCAGCGTTCATGGGTGTCAGATACAGATTTTTTACACTGATCCCCAGTACATTTTTAAGCCGTAGCCACGCACAATCTATAACCATACATCTAAGCATTATTTATTGCCTTGACACCCCTTTCAGGTGTGCCATTCAAGCAGGCTGGTTCCCTGTACCTGTTGCATAGTGACTATTTCTGCAGGACTTCTATGCAGGACGGCAGTTGTCCGTCGCTTCTCCTGTTACAGAATCATGGACTCATAGAATCCTGTTTATAGAATCACAGACTCATAGAATCTGCTGAGTTAGAGGGGACCCGTCAAGATCATCTAGTCCAACTCCTGGCCCTGCACAGCACACCCCAAGAATCCCACCATGTGCCTGAGAGTGTTGTCCAAAAGCTTCTTGAGCTCTGCCAGGGTTGGTGCGGTGACCAAGTTCCCTGGAGAGCCTGTTCCAGTGCCCAACCACTCCCTGGATGAAGAACCTCTTCCTAAAATCTACCCTAACCATCCCCTGACACAGTTTGATTTCTCCAGTCCTGTCAGTGGTCACCAGAGACATGCAGAGACTTGATACCTCTGCCCCTCTGCTTCCCCTTGTGCAGATGTCGAATACTGCAATGAGGTCTGCCCTCAGTCTCCTCTTCTCCAGCCTGAACAAACCAAGTGACCTCAACCCCTCCTCAGAGGGCCTCCCCTCCAAAAACCCTTACCAGGTTTCTGTGTCCCTCCATACACATGATGGGGACTGTTTCTTCTTGCTGTAGTGTGCACTTAAGTGGATGCAGGGTGTAGACTACATCAAGTTGTCCCTGTACTGCAGATAGTGAAATTACCTCAGGTTAAATGATCCTTAGCCAAAAGAAAAGGGGGAAGAGAATTTTGCATGCATCATGAGTTTAGGGTGTTAGCACAGGAACATAGAGAGTGATGTGCTGGTGAAATTTCACGGTCTTACACTGCCAAAATGTCCAAAGTTTTCAGAACCTGTTATTGAAGGAGGTAAAACAAGCTATGCTGCTCCTGCATTGTGAGAGGTTGGAATATAAGGCTGCCAGAGTGACTGCTCTGGCACTTAACTACAGTTTTGGTTTCTGATAACTGGGAAAAAAAATTTCTTGTAGTTCTGTATGTGCTCTATATATGGAAGGTGATGCCTTTAAGTGGCTCAGAAGGTGTACTCATGAGGCAAGAGAGTCAGTGGTGTTTTGTACCAGACTTGAGTTGCATGGTTTTTCTCAGCCACCTACACTGATGTAGCTAAGCCATGAGTTGAGTTTACTTTGCCCTGTTACATATTTGTGTAATTACAGTGGTTACCAATTCATTATCCAAAACAGAAGTTACATTCAAGAGGATGTTACTGTGCTAGCACTTGTAGATGAAGTATGTTGTGTGGCTTATCTCCCCTTTCAATTCTTCATAAGAAGTAACAGCAACTCCTATTACAGATACCTGAGTCAGAGAAGCTTTTTATGGGAGTTTCTGAGAATTCTTTTCTGATTTCCAGAGTTTCAAGTTTCTGACATGCAGAACAGTATTGCTGAGAAGAGGCTGCTGTCTGTGTGGATGATCTATATTCAATTTAAATTAAATATCCTGTACTGAATTATTTGTCAGCTTTTCTGTGGCTGGTTTAAATAATGTCTATTTTTCAGCTTCTGTATTAGAAACAATAATAAGACACTATAATTGGATACAAATGCTGGGTTTCATGCTCATATTCTGAATAAAATTTCTGTATGCAGTCAGACTGATTGTCCCTGTCTCCCTCTCCAAGATCACCTGAGACCTATTCTGTGGTCCCTCTGGACCATAGAATAACTCTGAAATTCTTGATCTGTTTATCTTGCAGACCTCTGTAACTTGTTAAATTAGGCTGTGAAGTTTACAGCTCTATAAAAACGAACTGACATAATAAAGGACAGCAAGCCTTGTAGTTTGAGCAGGTAACTCAACTGCTCTTGGTGTGTTGGACAACAACTTCTGGCATGAGCAAGCAGACGCTTCCCATCCTGTCTCCATTGACCCGAGGTTGTGGGGGGATACAGGGGACCCCGGGGATGCTGAAGGCCCCGAGGGGCCTGCACTGAGCAGTCTGCTCACCTTCCTCCTCCTCCCTTTACTGCAGCGGACGCACAGATCTACGTACAGACGGTACTGCAGCCCCCTCCCACAAGCACTGCTCTTCGAGCTTCCTTCCAGTGGGGAAGCAAAAATTAAAATAATGTGCCTCAAATGTTTGAGGCCTTTTTGCGATGTAGCCTGCTTTAAAATGGCTTGGCAGCAAAAGCGAGGCGAATTACGGGTCACGTCTTACACTTGGTACCCGAGGCGCTGCCTGAAGCTTTTTCCCGGTCGCGGGCAGCGTTGCCCGAGCTCACGGGCCCGTGGAACGCGGGCGGGCGGGCTCCGGCCGGGGCTGGCCCGGCGGGGCGGGGCGGTGCCGCCGCTCGTGTGAAAGCCGCGGCGGGCGCTGCCAGCCGTGCCCCGCTCCTTCCCCCGCATCCACCTGATCTCGCATTCCGCCCTGCTGCCGACGCTGCCTCCTGCCGCGGGCGGGAACTGGGCGCGCTTCCCCCGCCGGCGGCGAGCCGCAAAAAAGACCGCGAAAGGGGCCGCGAGCCGCCGTCCCGGGCAGCTGCCGGGATAGGGATCGGGACTGGAATTCGTGTAAGAGGTACCACAATGTGGGGCTGAAATGGAGAGGGAAGGAAGGAAGGCTCCATCTCCCGAGCCCGGAGCGTAACTCCCGCCTGTTTTGTGCGCGTTGGCTCCCGGCTGCGCGCGGCCTCCGGGATATCCCTCCGGGACCACGTGCGCCTGCGGGCTGAGCCTTTGCGGGCGCCCCGGCTTTGCACTATATCTAAACCCCTGGGGCAGTGCTCCTGGTCATCTAACACAGTTAAAAAACTTTAAAGAAAAGGTTCCTTACATTCCTTATCCTGCTTATTTCATACGATTTTCTTTCTCTGAGGCGATATCTGAAAGCATACATCA